TTAAACTTAACGATATCAGTTCGGAGTCCTTAGATGTCGTGGCAATGGAGATAAACGTCAAGAAAACATTAGATGCGACGTTTTATCGAACCAAGAATAGCTTAGAGCATATTAGCAATTGGATTGCTTACCTTAAAATATTAAGTGTTAAGACAAGCCAAAGCATGCTTAATCACTTTTGGATTTTTGGGGTCTTGGAAGCGTTTTATTCTCGCCTAAAAGGGACAATTTTACATTTGTGTAGATAAAATGCTTAATAAGATTGGAAATTTACATGTTTGCTTTAAATTTCTTTCTTATTGGTTTTATGAATGATTTTTCATTGCAAATTCTTTCGTTTGTAGAAAAATGTCTGCAACTAACACCAACAACAACCAATTTTCGATTACGCATAATTCCCGATAAGGAGAAATTGAGTGGGCCAAACTTCGTTGGTTGACAAAGGAACTTGCGTATAGTTCTCATGCAAGAACAACAGGAATATGTCCTTGATGAGAAAATATCCAACGTTCCTAATGAGGAGGTCACTCAGGTTGCTCAAAACCGATGGCACGCTGCCAATTGGGATGTCAAATGCATCATGTTGGTCACAATGTCTCCAGATCTCCAAAAGACTTTCTTTGAGAAGGAGACAACTTTTGAAATCATATTTGAACTTCAGAATATGTTTCAAGAGCAGGTCCGAATTGAGAGGTTCGAGACCTATAGGCAAATCCTTGAGAGCAAGCTCAAGAAAGGAGAGCCCGTCAACCCTCATGTGCTCAAAATGATTAGATTATTTGAGAACATGGAGAGACTTGATGCGGGGTACTCGAACGAGATGGCAATTGACATTATTCTCCACTCGCTGCACAAAGGCTATGATCAGTTCAAGATGAACTATAACATGCACAACATGAGAAAACCCTCACCGAGCTTCATGGGATGTTGAAGCAAGCCGAGCATATGCTCAAGGATGAGGGGAAGCATGATATGCTTATGGTTAAGAAGGGCAAGCCATTTAAGCAGTCAGGAAGAAGAAGGGCTACAAGGGGAAGGGTAAGAAAACCTTTCCGCCTAAGTCAAAAGCTACCATGGGCGACAAGAAAAGAAGGTAGCATCTTCTCAATCTAATTCCGAATGTTTCTACTGCAAGAAGAAGGGACATTGGAAACGGGATTGCCTCAAGTTCAAGGAAGATAAGTAGAACAACACACGTTACTTATGGATCACGTATTTTTGTTATAGACCTTAACATTACTACCAAAGCTTCATGGGTATTGGATACCGGATGTGGCTTACACCTTTGTTCCAATGCTTAGGGGCTAAGGAAAATTAGAAAGCTAGTGAAAGGAGAAATGGAACTTCGGGTAGGCAATGGAGCAAGGAATGCGGCCGTATCCGTTGGGACACTCAGTTTGTCTTTGCCCTCCGGGCTTGTTTTAGAACTTGAAGAATGTTATCATGTTCCAAACATTACCAAAAACATTATTTCAATTTTAGCGTTGAACGACAAAGGTTTTGAATTTCGGATAAGGGACAAATTGTTCGTTTTATCTTTTCAATGTTTTATATGGTACGGTGTATTCAGAAAATGGTCTTTATGAGCTTTCATATTTGAAACTTGAGTTTTGTGATTATGTGTGCATTAAAGTTGGTGTTAAATGACCTTAGGGTATGGTCTATGGTCCGAAATTTTTGAGCTATTACCCATGATTGGGTGATCTTGAGTTACACTTGGTTGATTGAGTTATGAATTGCTTATTGCAAATGGATTTTTAAATTGAATTGTTTATGTGATTTAGCATTAAATTGATTGTTTTTCATGTGTATGTGAAACAGATGGAAAGGAATGATGATATAAGAAAGAATTACTTTAACTTGCATTACTTGAAAGATGATGAAGTCACAGTTAGTGAGTTTATTACTGGAATTGTTGCTTTGGACTTAAACCTTTATGAGAAGTATAACCTGGAAGCATTGACCCAACTGCCTTGGATGGTTCTTTTGGCCTTAGCCTATCTACTGAGAGTTCCCAGATATCAACCTCTCTTTGACAAGTATGGGGATGTGATGAAGAAGAATGGGTTGTGGAATGAAAAACACCATCATGAGGAGAAATGGTTAGCAAGCATGTCTAGCCTTAAGAGAAACTTGCACTATGTGGAACGTAAGTTTGAACCTAGAAGGAGAATTGTGAAATTTCCTAAACTCCTAGCCAACACTTCATTGAGAGAAGATGAGCAAATGTACTACTTAAATGCCCAACTCCCTTTTTCATCCCGCAAAGACCCTCATGAGGTTGTGTCATCTAGTGATGAGTCCATACCACCTCTTGGTAGGAGCAAGAATTACCCTTTTCCTACTCGTACTCCAAGCTATGAACCTCCAAAACGTCTAAGTCCAAAAGTTCACTTTCATGATGCAAAAAGGCCCAGAACTCGTACCCAAGCTATCAATAAAAAATCACCAAGTCCAAAAGTTCAAAAGCCCAATGCTTCTTCAAACCAACCTCGTGGTGATGTGAGCCCAACCAAAAGCCCAAGTTACACTCCAGGCCCGAACAACAATCTAAGCGAATATAGGTCAAGTTCATCAGGCCGGACTCCAAGCTATAGTGGCTATAACCCAACTTTCATGACTGACCCAAGTGATAGAGATAAGTCCAAACGAGATGATCCTGACTATGATCCGGATGAAGATGACTATGCTGAAAGTGTTGCTTGAATGATTGAAATACGATTATATTTATTGCTTTCAATAATTGCCTTAGATGGCAAAGTTGTACTTTTCTTTAATTATTAATGAGATGAGGTTATTTTTATTGAAATTTTCTTTAAGTTACTAAGTGAATTAAATGCTTATGTGAGTAGAACTTGTTTTAATTGTCAAAGTATACCCAGGAAGTGTGTCTGCAAGGATGAGAGACCAAGTGCATGAGAAGTAAGCGCGTTGGTTCCAAGGTAAAGAAGGTCCTTAGAAAGTTAACCCATATCACTGAAAACATCACGAAAGTAGTGAACAAGGGAGACCAAAATTGTGACCTCAACTCTTATAGTGAAGTTTTTAAGAGAGTTGCTGCAGCCAAACCACCCATTTACTTGGGAAAGGAAGACCCATCCAGCCTTGAAAACTGGATTAGGGAGTTCGATAAGTTGTTTGATGCTATTAATTTCCCAAGTGAGCTGAGGGTGAACAATGGTGTTTATTATTTGAGGGAGGAAGCTGACTTATGGTGGGCCCAAAGAAAAGATGAGTTGTTGAAGAGACCAAACTTTGGGTGGGAGGAGTTTAAGGAAGCCTTAAGGGAGAAGTTTTACCTTTCCTACCTGAAAAAGCAGAAATGCATGGAGTTTACCAACCCGAGGATGGGGAACATGTCTATCAATGAGTATTACAACAAGTTCATAGAGTTGATGAGGTTTGCCCCGAAAGTAGTCCCTACTGAAACCATCAAAGCTCAGAGGTTTGAGCAAGGCCTAACCCTGACCCTCCAAGGGAAGCTAGGGGGGTCACCTTTGAGACCTTATATGAAGTCTATGGCCGTGTAGCCCACCTGTACGAAATCAAGGGGAGGGAAATGAAGCATGTTGGAGAGAAAAGGAAGAACCCGGACTCTTTTCACGGGGGTGGAAAGAGGCTTAAGCCTAGTGGTAACTACTAAGGGAATTCTGGAGATAGGAGGGACAACAAGGGGAACTTTGGGAAAGGGAATGGAGGCCAGTCGTCCAATGCTAGGGGAAATAGGAACCAAAGGAGTGAGAAGCCTCAAAGAATGTATTTCTGCAAGCGGTGTGGAAAATATCACCCAGGGAAGGACTGTGAGGGGAAACCGGTAACTTGTCGTTACTGCCAGAAGTTGGGACACCCGTGAGTACAAGTGTCACAAGAAAGAGGCTGACGTTAAGTCAGGGAAGGTGAAAGAGTCTAGTGTTCCTAATAAACCACCTCAATCTAGTGGACCTATACCTAAGGTTGGAACCAGTAGCGTTGTAGGAGGTGCCCCAAAGGGTCGTGTGTTTGTGATGAGCAGCCGTGAGGCTAAAACTACTAATAATGTGGTAATTGGTGTTTTTCTTATAAGTTCCCTGCTTGTGAAAGTTTTGTTTGATTCAGAGGCATCCCATTTCTTTATTTCTAAGAGAGTAGTTGGAAGTCTCGGGTTAGAAAGTCCTGAGTCAGTCTCTCTAGATGTGTCTATTCCTTCTGAGGAAGTGAGGAGTTGTTCCAAGTTGTTTAAGAGTGTACCTATTTCCATTTTTGAGGTAGAATTCCTGTCGGATTTAATCGAGTTCGATTTGAAGGATCTCGATGTAATTCTGGGTATGGATTGGTTGGGAAGGTATGAAGCAAGGATTGATTGTGCAGCAAAAAAGGTTACTTTAACTATCCCAAATAAAGCCAGAATGGTGTATAAGAAGGAAGAGAAAAGTTTAGGGTTGAGAATTATTTTTGCAATACAACTACAGAAGCTGGTTAAGAAGGGTTGTCCTCTGTTTTTGTGTAGTGTTCAAGAAACTGAAAATGGGGAAAAGAAGGGTGATGGAAGTATACCTGTTGTAGAGGAGTTCCCTGATGTATTTCCAGATGAGATTCTTGGTATGCCACCAGTGAGGGATGTTGAGTTCACTATTGACCCAGTGCCTAGTACTAGAACTATTTCTAAAGCTCCATATAGGATGGATCTAGCTGAGATGAAGGAGTTGAAGACTTAGTTGGATGATTTGTTGGAAAAGGGTTACATTCTACCTAGTTCCTCACCTTGGGGAGCTCTAGTGTTGTTTGTAAAGAAAAAGGATGGAAGTATGAGGTTGTGTATTGATTATAGAGAGTTGAATAAGGTGACAGTGAAGAATAAGTATCCATTATCAAGGATTAATGATATGTTTGACTAGCTGAAAGGGGCTGGAGTATTTTCAAAAATAGACTTGAGATCAGGTTATCACCAGTTGAGAATTGCGGAGCAAGATATTGCAAAAAGTGCTTTCAGGACCCGTTATGGTCATTATGAGTTCACATTTATGTCGTTTGGTTTTACCAATGCACCAAAAGTGTTCATGGATTTGATGCATAGGATTTTCAGGCCATATTTGGACAAGTTTGTGGTGATGTTTATTGATGATATTTTGATTTATTCAAGGGATGAAGAAGTGCATAAGAAGCATTTGAGACAAGTGTTGTCATTTTTTAGAGAGCATCAGTTGTATGCAAAGTTGTCTAAGTGTGAATTTTGGTTGGAAAAAGCAGCATTTTTGGGCCATGTGATTTCCAAGGAAGGAGTCTTAGAGGACCCAAGTAAGATTCGAGCTATCAGTGATCGGCCAACCCCAAAGAGTGTGTCGGATGTGAGAAGTTTCTTGGGTTTGGAAGACTATTACAGATGGTTTGTGAAGGATTTTTCAAGGATTGCGAAGCCCATGACAAGCTTGATGAAAAAGGAGCATAAGTTCTCATGGACTCAGGAGTGTGAAAGGGCGTTCAAGACCTTGAAAGAACGGTTAACCACAACACCTGTGCTGGCTTTACCGGATGGAAAAGATTTATATGAAGTGTATAGTGATGCATCGAGGTTTGGACTAGGATGTGTCTTGATGCAAAGTCGAAGGGTGATTGCGTATGCTTCAAGGTAGTTAAAACCTCACGAAGGGAATTACCCAACCCATGATTTGGAGTTAGCTGCAATAGTGTTTGCTTTGAAGATTTGGAGGCATTACTTGTATGGGGTGACTTGTAGGATTTTCATGGATCATAAGAGTTTAAAGTACATCTTCACCCAAAAGCATTTGAATGGGAGGCAGAGAAGATGGTTGGAGTTTCTAAGTGATTATACGTTGGATATTCAATATCATGAAGGAAAGGCTAATGTGGTGGCAAATGCTTTAAGCAGGAAGTCAGAACATTTAGTGAATGTGATGGTAGTGCCAGATCAGTCATGTGTGGAATTCCATAGTTGAATTTGGAAGTGATGAAGTATGGAGAAGTGACTAGGATGGTGAACACCTTGGTGATTCAACCATCCATTTATGATGAGATAAGGAAAAGTCAGCTAGAAGATGAGTAGTTAAAGGCAATTAAGAAAATGATCGATGAAGGTCAGGTGTTGGATTTCACCATTGGAGATGAAGGAAGTATTCGTTTTAAGGGAAGATGTTGTGTTCCGCAGAGTCATGGGGATTTAAAGCAGAGATTGATGGAAGAAGCCCATAATTCTTCTTATTTAATGGATCCTGGAGAGGATAAGTTGTATAAGGACATGAAGAAGACTTTTTGGTGGCCCAATATGAAGAAAGAAGTAGCTGAATTTGTGGCCAAGTGTTTGACATGTCAGGAAGTGAAGATCGAACATCGTAGGCCTCAAGGAAAGGTCTAATCCTTGGAGGTGCCCAAGTGGAAGTGAGATTCGATTTCTATGGATTTCGTTGGAGCGTTGCCTAAGACCAAGGCAATGAAGTTTTATATAAACACCATAATTGAGTTTTAATTATCCACAAGTAGAAATTAAAACTCTTTACCATATACAAACTCTTTCTCCAAGTGGGTAATTAAACCTTAAAAAGTATGCTGGAATTTTGATATAAACACCATAATTGAGTTTTTACTTTGTGGTTTTAATTACCCACCTAGAGAAAGAGTTTTAAAGGTTTTAAATCAAAATTTCAACTTATTAAAGAGGTTTTAAAGTGTTTAAAAGTTGCTGGAAATTTGTGTAATCAAGGGAGTAATTGAGTTTATGTATTTGGTATTGTAGGAGACTTTAAATTGAGTAATTTCTAGCATTGTGGCTAGTTGGAAAGACAAATTGAGGTACGTATGCGCGTAAAATATATTAATTATGCGTAGTACCATGTCAAGAAGTTAAATTTGGTATCAAGAAACAGGTGCCAATTGGGGTAGCTCCCTAATTGGAAGATCCATGTTTAATGTACTATTTTAAGGAAGGAAACCCGTTCGATGCGTTATCCAAAACTTTATATTAATAAATTAAAGTAGAGTCATGAGTCAAAGGTAAGTTGACTTGTGTTGTATGGCAAGCATGTTTTATTTATTTATTTATTGTCTATTGCTAGGATATTCATGTTAGTGTGATTATTCCTATTGGTGCATATGTACTCAGCTTTTGCTGATTCAGTTCGTACTTTGTTGTTTGTGTTTGGCTTTTCTTTGTATTAGCCCTACTATGACCCATTTTATATGGCGAGTTGTGAGGTTGAAATAAAAAGAAGTACAGGTAGAAGGAGCATATCAAACATGATGGGATTGAGCGAAGAGGGTTATATGTTTCATTACTTTGTTTATTTCTTATTGTAATATATTATTTCATTTATTGTTGTCACTAACATATAATCATATTTGTAATATTTTAGTTTGGTTGGTTATTTTTTTGTTTTTTTTTTGTTTTTTTTTGTTTTTTTTTTTTTAAAAAAAAGGCCTTGAGTGGTTCTAAGTTATTTGTTTAATGTAAGTTGGTTTTAAAGTTTGAGTTTGTTTTATTAAACTTTATTTTATTTGAACTTTTTTAGTCTTTCGCTGTGTGACTTTGAATTGAAATAGCGTTAGCCGTTATCACGGTGGCGGTTGGATATTTTCTAAAAATGAGTTTCATTTAGAGTAAGAGAGTATTTTAAAAGAAGGGAATTTCCAGGGTATTACAGTTACCTTAACATATGTAGGTTACTTAAATGAGAAAAAAGGGTTCCTCTCTTAAATATGTGGAATTATTCTTTCCTTTTTTAAAAACAAAAGAATAGAGGTTACTCGTATGAACAAATGGGGGTATTTATTTCTAAATTACTTGATTTTACTCGTATAATGAATTTGGATTACTTTTATGGACAACATGGGGTTACTCTTATGAAAAAATGAGATTACTCATACATTTAAATGAAGATTACTCTTATAAACCAATTTGGCCACATCGTGTGGTTAGCCACATACAAGACTTACCCGAGTAGAATATATATGTAAGACAAATGCAAACATGGAAATTAAAGATCTATCGATGTTGACTATATTTTTCTTAATTAGTACCTCGATAGAGTTCCTAAATATCCTCAGATATTGACTATATTTTTCCTAGTACCAAGTGTATGTTTGGTTCAATTCTAGAATGAGTTTTTACTTCTTTTATTTGATACTTTAAGTTTTTGTATGCGTCAAAATGTCAAATCCATCTATATCTTTAGGTTTCCAAACCCAATAGCTCAAGAATTGAAGTATGGGTTAAAAATTTATACAATTTATTTAATCATCAACCTAACACATTGTATGGGTTTAAACCATTTGATGAAACATATACTTCATTCATATATTTCATTATCCAAACCCCCTTTAATAGATATTTGTAACTTTTATATATATTGGTGTAACTTTTGATCATTTAAGAATGATATACGATGCGAACGAATGTAAACTCGATTTTTACATTCTATGACAACATCATAGGACTTAGAGAAATATGTTTTTATTAGCTTGATTAAAACAAAAATACACATGGGCATGAGATATGTGAATGGGCATAAATTATTTTGATCTAAAAGGTAAAATTTATCAATAAAGAGCATAAACCTTATTCATATCTTTTTTTGTATGTATTTTTTTAACATTGAATTGCAAAATATAGTAATGAATAATGTGATAAATGGGTATCCATTAAGTTAACTATGTCTTTCACTATTCTCATATTGTGCAATGTGCATTAAGCAAACTATAGCAAAAAAAATTTGAGAAATTTAATATTTGAACTTTTAAGACCGCGCAATTACATAGGTTCTATACTAGTACTAACTATTTAGTCCATGACAAGACAAAACTAACAATCAACCCAAAGAAAGTCAAATTTTTGGTAATAAAATATACGTAAATAATATGGAAAGTTATTTTGCTAACCTATTTTTGATTAAATAAAAAGTGGAGGATGAAGTTATTTTTTATTTATTTATTTATTTTTTAAATTAGGAATATGTGCATATAATTTTGACAATTGAAGTTTTGGATACTTCTGATTATAGAAGTTTTAAAATTTAAAACTTTATTATTATACGAAATATAAGATATACAAGATACATTAGCAAACTGCTAGTAAATGAATTCTTCAAAAGTTTTAAAAAGAAATACATAACCCTTTTAGTGTGATATACTCATATACACCCTAAGATAAGAATTATGATCTGTGAAACAAACCAATTGAGAATTATGGACTAGAAAATCAAAATATAACTAATAATTCAAATTGTCAAATAATAGCTACTCCATACGATAACATACATTTTCAAGTACAAAGATTTAATAATGTTGTTTTTTGTTAGGTTGGTGATCAATTGATGGGCGCAAGCTTACAATGTTTTCCGCGTAGTCAAACACTTAGCTGCTGTAAGGAGATTTAGTTTGAAAATCATGCTCAATAACTCCATCTTCGTCGTCTTCAAAGCCATACGAGATCAGTCGTATTTTGTTATCACGTAAGAAAATTCGTTCTTCATTAAATTTCCCGGCCACACCAAATATAACCTTGTTTGAACCGACCGGAATCGAGCATATGATGTTCCAAGAATCCTCAACTCCGTACTCCTTCATTATCCATACCTCAACCTTTTCTTTTCTAACAAAAGTCACGACCACAATAATAAGTATCCCTAAGCACCCAAACACTCCGGTTTATGTTACGCTTATCCTTGATAGTAATATGTTTATGACCCATTTTATCATTAATAAGTTTATGTTACAAGGACACCGTATTTTAAAATCTGTTGGTCGTATTCGTTACGACCTCTTATTCCACACGACCAATGACAATTACATTTACAAAGCAATTACTAAATTCTTTTTTGGAGTTTAGGTACAGTGAAACAACCCTTCTGTTACTGTAATAAGTAAATTGATACTTATGAATATTTGACCATGAATTAGTTGTGATAACAACTACCATGTGATCATTAATGCTTTCATCGTACCCAAATCCGACACGCAAACCTATTGGTTGTGTATCCCTCGACGTGGATAAGGAAATAGGACAGTGAATATGCCTGTAGAATCGAGTAGTCGGATTCCAAAGAATTATCAAGGAAGAATTAGTGAATAAACCATAAATACCATTATTAACTGGTCCGAGTATCTGAATGTCATTACTAAATTTGGCATCTAGATCATGATGACCACTAAACGGAGGGAATTCCAAATCCTCAACGATGTCATTAGACAGGTAATTGAAAACTCGAGCTCTGAAAATAGGATACTCTCTGAATACAATTAGCTTTCTTTTACGGGAGTTGTGGCTGGTAAACGACGGAGATTGAATAAGAGAGCGCCATCTCTTGCAAACGCTAAGGAATCGGAGCAACTATTTAATGGGCAACTTTAGCAAAATTTCCATCTCTAACTCTTCCGGCAAAAGGGCAGGACAACGCTCCATTGAGTTTTAATGGCTAAAGGCAGAAAAGGGAAGCATATATTTATAAATTATGATGAGATGTAATGTAATGATATAGGGTTTTTTATAGGGCCTTGTAATGAAACATGGGTGGCTTGATGTCCAAGTAATTACGGAAATCTGATTGATGTATTAAACTTAGGATTTAACCTTATTTATCATTTTATTCTAAATTTAATTTTGGTTTTTTATTTTTGGCAATATAAATCACCAAATTGGATGCTGAACGTCAAACTAGCAATTCGAAGGAATTTATGAATTGATTTTGTTTCACTATTTTATGTCGTATTTGTTACTATAAAAAAAATCTTCATTTTATTTGATTATTAATTTTTTTTTTTAATAAAAATCTTTATGTATCTATTTGCTGTTTAATTTTATTTGGATAACTAATTGCGCTTTTGATTCATAATTTTATGGTAGGTTTCGTTGCAATTTGGGTTGAAGAAAAAGTTGTTATTCTCAACAAAATCAAGAAATTATTCAAAATGATTATCAACCAATCTTGTGAGTATGTGACCATGTAGG